TCTCATTCATTGCCTCATGTTTCAGAATTGCTCATTTGCTCAATTTCCATCTGCTCATTCATAAGCATTGCATGCTCTGTTGTCTTGGTGGTCACATGAAGACAAATTTCATGCGGGGGAGGTGGTTCGGCTAAGACAAAAACATGACTACATTCAACCTTTATAAAATAATCTTGCTTCTTGGAAAGAACAAGAAATAATTGTATTTCCCAAGTAGAAATCTGAGTCTTATCTGCCATTTAAAGGCAAAATTCACTAAGCCAGGTTGCTGACTTCAATAGAGGTCAATTTTTCATCAACCTGGTCTGTCAAATCCATTTTATTTCACAAATTGGACAGCTGCATCTGTGTGTTCTCTATCAGCCATAAGAAAATGGTATTCCTTTGGTTGGTAGTATTCGGTTTTATTTTTGGATGTTTTCTCCTTTTATCCAGGGTGAGGAAAAATATCTTGACAGGATTCAATATTTTTGAAAGCATATGATATTTACAAAGGATAAGACCCAAATAAAACTTAGAACATTTTATAGACATTACTTCATGAACCTTAGAACTATCTTTGTAGCAAAACAGAGAAGCAAAGGACAAATATTTATTGAGGGCCTGCTGTATGCCAGGAACTGGACTGGGTAATTTATATAGGCCATCTCCTTTAGTCCTCACAAAAACTCTATGATATGGGGATTCTTATTTCCACTTTAAAGTTAAGAAATCTGCCAGGTGTAATGGCATACAAATGTAATCCCAGCTACTCAGGAGGCTGAGGCAAGAGGATTACCATGTTTGAGGCCAGCCTTAACAACTGAGACCCTCTCTTAAAAATTTTAAAAATAAATAAATAAAGGGCTGGGGATATAGCCCGGTGGTAAAGCATCCTTAGGTTCAATTCCCAGTGACATAATCAATCAATCAATCAAAAGAAATCTGAGCTAAAAGAAATCAGTATTTGGCCCAAAGTGACACCGAGGGTAAATGAAAGGGAACCTGGATTCAAACCTAGCTCTTAGGCTTCAAACCTCATGCCTTTAGTGGCTTACAATGAGAAAAAAAATGGAAACAACCTAAATGACAACACAGACATTGATTAGATAGAAATAGTAGATAATATGTCCACTGGTACAAAGCAGCCATGGCAAATGATAGCATAGATCTAATTTATTTACATGAAAAGATGTTCACAGGGCTGGGGATTTAGCTCAGTTGCCAGAGTGCTTGCCTCCCATGCACAAGTCCCTGGGTTCGATCTCCAGAACAACAACAACAACAACAAAAAAGATGTTCACAGCATATCAAATAAAAAAGATTATAAAAGTAGAGCTTATGATCCCCTTTAAGATCACATATATAATTTTTATATGTATATTTGCATTTAAAAAGTTATCACTGGTGGTAAAACTTAACATTTGTTTTTCTTGGTTATCTATTGTTGGTCCATAAGAAGTTCATATTACCTGGATGGAATGATGAATGGAGAGATGGTTGGATGGATAGGTGCACAGACTGATAGAGACATAAATTGATAGGGAATATACAAAGAGATAAAAAATTGAATGATCCAGTGTTCAAGCAAAAGAAGCACATTTGATATTTGAAAAGTTCTATTTATGCACTTTAAGAATATCTAACCATCTGATATACTTGTAAAGTTCAGAAAAAAAAGATATATAGGTATCTGTATCACTGTGCATAGATATTTATTTTCTCATGCACTATTTATAGCTATAAATGTACATAAATGTGCAGATATATGATGAGATAATATTTATACATTTATAGAAAATGAGAAATAACATGATAAAGCCAAGGTAGCAAAATCAGGGAATCTAGATAAAGTAAGTATGGGAGTTCATTGTGCTATTTGTTCCAATTCTCTACATTTAAATTATCTCAAAGTAAAAAATTTGAAGAACTAATCATTGATATTTCAAACACACATATCTGAAACAAGATGATATCAATTTAAAAGAAATCCTATTCCATCATTTGCTCTCCTTTTTTAATACTTGAAGCAAGAACCCTATGACCACTTGGTGAATTTGCCCATTATGACACTTGTCACAGAAGAACTTGGGATTTACTGAGTTGTGTATTCCCTAGAGCACAGACATATATAGGAAGTCTGCCACTTTGTTTCTCAAGACCAGAAGTATCTTGGTCACATAATTTGACAAATCTAGCACACATGAAGCCATGGACCAATATGAATCATAAACACGGACACAAATGTATGAAGCAAAATAATAGCTTATTTAATTTTAGCAGTGTCTTAAAATAAATGATTCACAGGTAAGATTTATTTCAAAATTATAAGTTTAGGAAATGAGGAAATTTCCACCTGAGTCTCCCAATAAGTGTCAGTGGCATTCTTGGGCACAACATTTTTGCAAACTAGGAACAACAGAACAATAAAGAATAACTATCAGAAACTCTATGTGTGAGTGTGTGTACACTGATAGGAAATACTGGATGCATTCCTGCCTGTAGTAGAGACAAAAAAAATTACACACATTATCATTTCTATTATTCAACTCCATTCTGAAGTCTCCAGCCAATAAAATGAGAGCAAAAGAGAAAGAGAGAGAATATGATTTATAATTATTTCTTAATTTTATGATTAGCTATCTAAAATATCCCAAAGAAGCCACCAAAAAACTATACTTACTATGCATAAAATGGTTCTAATCATATTTAAAATAGATATATCAAAGCTTTATATCAGACATAAGGGATTGTCAAACTTTGTCCTTAAAGATCAAAGAGTAAATATTTTTGGCTTTGTGGGCTATGTGGTCTCTGTACCAACTATTCAGTTTTATAACTATAGCACAAAAGAAGCCATTCATTATGAATAAATGAATGAATGTGGCTGTGTTCTGATAAAACTTTATTTGTAAAAACAGGAAATGGACTGGGTTTGGACCACCATTTGTAGTATGCTAAGCTCTATATCACCGCTATCAAGGAAAAAAAAAACTGATGAGGAAATTTATTTAAAACAGCAAGGAAATATATAAAGGCCTGGAAATAAACTTTCTAAAAGACAATTTAACTATATGCATCAAAACTTAAATTATGAATACTCTTTCAACCCAATAATTCTAGGGATATACTTAAAGAAGAATATAAAGATATGAACACAAAATGTTTATTACAGTATCATTTATAATAAGAAGAGAGAGTTATCTACTACACCATTCTTTTTTTTTTTTTTTGTACTAGGGAGTGAATCCAGGGGCACTTAACCACTGAGCCACATCCTCAGTCCTGTTTTGTATTTTATTTAGAGAGAGCATCTTACTGAGTTGCTTAGCATCTCCCTGTTGCTGAGGCTGGCTTTGAACTCACAATCCTCCTGCCTCAGCTTCCTGAGCCTCTGGGATTACCAGCATGTGCCACCACAACTAGCTGGCACCATCCATTTTTAAAATAGGTTACAGAGTAATATATATAATGTCAGCTAATTTTTAAAATAAATGGCTTTGCATATGAGGTCATGCAATATGAACCCATATATGTAAAACTATACCCAATTTGCTTTATTAGCAGAAGTTTCTAGAGGTAGATTTATGAGCAACATTCTTTCTACTTTTATATCAAGACAACCCCAGAGAGTTCTTTTATTATAAATACTTCACATCCTAAGGATATAAATCTTTCAGTTATAACTAATGTAAAAGAAGCATCTATCTAGAAATCTTATATTTTTTCTATCCTTCAGTGATATTCCCACATGCATGATTGTGTGCATGTGTATGAATATGGGCTTCACATATGAATACACACCTTCCAAGGAAGAAATGCCAGGGAAGAGGAATAGAAAATGGACAATAATGGTAGATGAAGGATCAACATTAATTAATGTCCCACAGGGTAATAAATATTAGTCTGTAAATTCACTCTTGAAGATCTTATTTATGGTTCTATGATACAGTAATATCATCTTTTAGGATAGAGGAAAATCCTAACATTCTTGCAAATTCTCATTCAAAATTTACCAGATTAAATCTGAGCCTCCTAATAGAAAATAAAAGTCCATGTGATTTATATATAGTTGTGAAATTAATGATATTTTCTTTACAATTGCTGAGTAGTGTCTAATCATTCTGCCAATAGTTTTATGTGTTAAGTTTATATAAATTGATATTTAATTTTTATGTACTTAAAAATCTTGAAAAAATGGAGATGGGAAAGAAAGAAAATTACAATTCTTACCACTTCTCAGTAATTCTATGTAGGTGTTACTGAACACTAGTTACATGGCATTACTTGCAGTTGTCAAAAAGAAAACAAACACTATTTTTGCCTTCTGATAATAATTACCTTATCTGGCTTTGAAATCTTCCTAATTCTCTCAGGAAGTGTCTTTCTCCAACAGCTTAGCATAAAAATTAGACCCAATGCAAACATAATATCCTCCTGTAACAGACATTTCTACAAGGACATATGAAATAAATGTATATAAGCACATGTGAGTACGTGTGTGTGAGCCTGTCATTGCTAAAAAGGTCATGGGAGAAAAGTGAGTCTCCCTAGAGCCAACTAAGTTAACAGGAACAATATGACAACCACAGGTCATCCAAAGTTCTCAAAAGTGATGGCAAAAGACAACAAGGTGTTAAGTACATTTTACAAGCCATGAAAATCCAGGACACAATAAGCAAGAAATGAAGTTTACCCTGAACACAACAAAGAAGTATATTGATATAACATAAGTTTCATTAACTATTCCTTTACTCACAGCCTCCATCAAATGTTATTTAGAATTTACTATGGCAGTAGAATTTACTATTGCATTATAAGTATGAACATAACAACCTACATTAGGCTTACGTTGAGATGTGAGAGACTAGAATTCTGCAAACTTTCAATTTCCCATTTAAAAATTCTTGTAAATGAATTTCCTATAGTTAAAAGTGAGTAGTTATGCTTCAAATCCCAAATTATGCTTTTCTTCTCAAATATTGCTCTCTATATATCACCAAACTCCAGTAAAAACTCACCCTTCAACTTGAGGTCAACATTATGTCTCAGCCAAGGATAAACCCCATAGCTTGGCATATCTTCAGGAATTGGATTATTGTTTATCCAGCCATCGCAAGCAAACCGGAAGAAATTATCACAAGGGTCCACAGACAGATTTACTTTACTCAAGATGGCAGCGGCTATTTAAAAAGAAAATCACAGGATTAATGACAAGCACTGAACATTGTGTACTGTTCTTTTCCAAATTAAACAACAATTTCATATCAACCAGTTCCCAAGCCTTGGCTCTATGTTCCTCCTCACGTGACTCTCTGGATCAACATCACTATATGAAATGACCACATTCAGAGTGAGTAGGTAAAAGTTCCATTGTATGTTATTGGTCTTGCAGGATTATTCCTAACATCTGTGGAGTGTCAGACAAAAATACATATGGAGTATGTAGTAGACTGTTTGCAAAGATAAGTATAATACTTTCTTCCATTCCACATGTCTTTCTGCAAAGCCACCTTGTTACTCTTACCATGAAGCAATAGAGTCTATTTCCCCTGCTTTGAATCTGGGCTGGTTTTACCACTAGCTTTGGCAAACAATTGACATAAATTACTTTTTGTGAGTTTCAAAGCTAGGCCTTAAAAGGTCTTGCACTTTTCAAACACTCCCTTTCAAATGGAGCCTTGAGGCTATCTTTTGAAGAAGTCTCCTGTAGACCAAGAGGCCACACAGAGAAGAACAAAGGCCATCAGGGACCTTCCAGCCTAAGTGAACCCCCAGAGCCTATGCAATACCAGAACCATCTACCAAACCCAGAGACCCATGAGAAATATTAAATCATTTTTTTGTCTCAGGCCTCCAAAGTTTGAGGTGGTTTGTTCCACAGCAAAGGGTAACTGAAACAGAGACCCACATGTCATCTACCTACATATTTTTAAAAAAAATATTTTTAGTTGCTGATGTACCTTCATTTTTTATTTATTTATATGTGGTGCTGAGGATCGAACCTAGTGCCTCACATATGCTAGGCAAGTGCCCTGCCACTGAGCCATAACCCAAGCCCCTACCTACATATTTTAAACACATACTTGCAACATTCCTTCATAAAAACCAGGAAGGCCAGTATGAATTCTTCAGCCCCTTGATATCCAGTGTAGGTCTCAGAGGAAGGGAGCCCTGAAAGAGACCCACACAGGCCCTGAAAGGAAACTTGGGCCATTTGGCAGGCAATTCTGGGGTGTAGGAGAGAGCTGCAGACTTGGCCCCACAGGCTCCTTGACTGGGCTGGGGGAGAGGAATGGCCACAGAAGGACCAAAATGAAGTATTCTAAATAAGGGGCCCAAGTATGGGGTAGAATTGAGTATTCATATGAGTTAACAGAAAGATACAATACACTAATCTACCCTGTTTTTCCTTTTATAAGCCCAAACACAATTATATGTGGACCATAACTCATAGATAGGAAATTTTTACATAAATATGTATCCATAAGTTTTGAAAGAAAATCTTCTATCACAAAATGAAAAGGTTCTAAATTTTCTAATATTGACCTCCAATTCTCTTCCAACTGCCATACAATTGCTGGCTACCACTCTGGCACAAAGATATGCACCAACCGATTAAAAAAACAGCAGCCAATATTTTAATAACATTGGAAGAAAGACATTCTGGGCGATTTTCATACCTTAATTAATGCCAGAATATATTTCTCTTTGAAGTAATGAAAATCTGATGACTTTTCAGCTAGATGAGAATGAACTGCCCCCAAAAGTATAATATGCAGGGCTGGGGTTGTGACTCAGTGGTAGAGGGCTTGCCTCACACTTATGAAGCACTGGGTTCCATCGTCAGCACCACATAAAAATAAATAAATATCAGGTTGGAGATGTGGCTCAGTGGTAGAGGGCTTGCCTTGCACATGTGAAGCCCTGGGTTCAATCCTCAGCACCACACAAAAATAAATAAATTAAATAAAGGTGTAGTGTCCGTCTACAACTAAAAAAAAAAAAATGTTTAAAAAAAACTTGAGCTTTTAAAAAATAAATAAATAAGGGTATTGTGTCCATCTACAACTAAAAATTTTTAACAAAAAGTACAATCTGCATAAATAAATAAAGATATTATGTCCATCTACAACTAAAAAAAGTTTAAAAAATAAAGCTAGATATTTCTCTATACTACACTGTGAAAATTTCAAACAGCCTTTGTCCTCATTGAAGTGAATAATCAACAAACATCCTAATTTCTAGAGGACTTCAAAATCCCTGCTGCTTTCAACCCCCCTCCCAAAATTAACAACCAGCAAAAACTTGGTTTACCAGTTCAACAGATTTTAAATTGACTTAATATTTTTGTTTTTCAGAATGAACTCAGTTGTATTTAATTACATGTATGCTTACTGCTACTGTTTTATCATTACCATTTAATATGCAACCATGCTAGGACATACAAAGTCTTCCTTCCATTTTATATTTATAGACTGTGCAGCCCCAGAATGAATCTGCAATGTGACACCTCAGGGATACGGTTCACACAAGTCTCAGTCCCACACAATATTTACAGTCACCCAGGGGAGTCCTCACATGAATTTTTATTCACATAAGCTCACTGTTTTCTGGCTTCCTTCCCAAACTTCCCTTCCCCCAACCCTCAAATACACCCTCTCCATCTCCTCAGTTTGCTAGCAGGTACCTACAAAAACTGCAAGGTCAGCTCTGACCCCGGTCCTGATACTAAAGTAGGGGAATACATCACTTGCATGAATTTGGAAAGGAGCCCTGTGAGTGAGAAAACTCTTCCCTCTGCCTTGCAATTCATCACTCACGATTCATAGCTGGGCACAAGGCTGTGCTTTCTGCAGGAGAACTGTGACTTCAAATCACAAGGGACCATACTTGTCAAGACACCAAACTCCTTTCCCCCCTACTCAGCTCCATAGAGAAAACCCAGAGAATCTTGTTTTAATAAAAGAAATATGATGATGAAGGAAACCTGTGAAAGCTCAGGCTGTGTATTCTCTCAAGTCATTGCAGATGAGGTTAATTGGTAGGCAGTCTCCAGCTAGTTTATGGAGTACAGATGGAGGCATCTTGCCATATACCAATATGAGTTTTTAGGTTTAGTCAGGGCTCAGGGGAGAGTCTTATTAAGGGCCTCAACCTCATTATTTATATAAAATAATAAAGTCACTAACATTAAGTATTTCTGCTATGCCAGGAACTATATGCTAAGCCCCTTCCAAGCAATATAGCATCATCATAAACTCTGGAGTCAGACCACTTGGGTCAGAGGAACAGCAACAGTGTGCAATAGCTGTACAACCTGGGAAGATTACTTAACCTTCATGTATCTTAATTTCCTCATCTGTAAAATGAGGATAATAATAATAACAATACCATATAGTATCACCATGCTAATTAAATGAGTAAATATATGTAAATTGCTTATAACAGTGTCAGGCACATTTCCATATAACTATGATCAGCAGATAAAATATAAGGTGCCCAGTAAAATTTGAATTTCAGATAAAAAACTACTTTTAGAATAAGGTTAATTATTAGAATAACTATATATATAAAATATTACGTGGGACATATTTATACAAAAACATTGTCAACACTATATATCTGCAATTCAACTTAACTGAGCATCCTCCTGTATGTATATATTTAGCTAAATATAGGAAGCATACATGTAAACATTTGCTATTATAATTCCATAAACACTTATCTGGAACTCTGAAGTTAGATTTGCAGAGCTCACAGATTTTTCAGATTTTGAAAAAGAAATAGTGTATCATAACTCAGAAATGTCTGGAGTGGACCCCTAAAGCAAGCACTTAATATTTCTATGGGGAACATAGAAATACTACTTATGTTCTCCTAAGTAGGATCGATAAAGTCTAAAATGACCTCACATGAGTTAAGATCCAGTTTATCCATCATAGGAATTGAAGTCACGTTTGCTCTGGCCACCTGGGAATTGCAATACTTTCTGGGATTGCACATTGTGGACCTGGATTACTAGTACCATTATTATTTTGTTTTATTCTCACAACTAGTATGATAAGTTAAAACCTGTTATCCTCATTTCATAGATGGTAAAACTTCCACTTAAGGAGGTTAAATATTTAGCCCAGGATCACATGGCTTGTATGTGACCATAACAGGCTTCAAACACAAGTGAAAGGCTTGTCCACCTTTATCCACTATCATTAGCATGACCTTTCCTTGTTTCTTTATATTCTTTCTACAGCTCTCATTTTGAAAGAGGGATCAGAAGAAGTGAACAAGGAGAGAGGAAAGAAAAGTTACAGAGAGGCTGAATCTCAGAAATGGTTGGCATGTGTTCAGAAGTGGAACAGAAGGTGATCAAAAACATCCTCTCCTGAACTTTTATTATGTGGATTTGTGCCCATATACCCTCATCTTCATACCAGATCTTGTGTAAGATCCTGGCTTATACAATTCTCCTACCATATCTATCCGAGCTGTTCTACAGACCCCTGGGCAAAATGAAGCTCATGTCCCATCAAAGAGGACTGTATTTTTTGTGACCCTTTCACAACTGAAACAGCAAAACCAATATTTTTAAACATTAGAAAGCCATTTGACAAAACAAAAATTAAAAACAGGAAAAACATACTAGATGGCAGAAAGCAACATTATCAGAAACCAGTCTTTAGGTTTAACTCTGGCATTGTTATAATTTGTAATAAGCAAAATTCATGTAGTAAGTGACCTTCCATACCAAAAGTTGTCTAAACTCAAATTGAAGATTTTGAGTTTTATAAATTTCAAATTCTCCCAGCCACAAGAACCCTAACCACAGCAAAAGTACCAGATGATGAAATTTTAAACCTGTTCTCTGTGCCACCTATTCCCTCACCCTACTCTATGACATCCTCTCTCCACTGGAGAAGACCCCAGGTCAACTGCTAAAGCTGGAAATTCCCACATCATTACAGAAGAAAAAGAATCACCCTTTGAGGGATGATATCAAGAAGCTGAAATAGTTTAGTTGCTAAACTCTAGGAAGTCTAGTGGGTGGCAGGGTGGATATGAAGGACTAGGGGGATCAGAAACAGAGTTACTTGGCATGCTACCAGAGCACCAAGGAAAAGATGGAAAGGATCCAGACATGGAGGTAAAGCCAAACTCTGCCACTGGCTCAGGATAGGACCGTGGGAAAGTTAATTAGCCTCTAGAAGCCTACATTCCTTTATCTATCTGTGGGACTTGCAAGGGTACTAAGTTCATAGTGTTCTTCTGGAGGTTTTATGAGATGGGGGTATGTAAGTCACCCAACATGTTGCCTGGTTAAAAATGTGTATTGATCACTTAAATGGGACAAGAAATTGATTTTAAAAAGTAACTATGGGTAAATGGAAGAAAGATCACTAGAGGGAAGGAAACAGGGAGTGGGGAAAAGGGAGGGGAAGGACAGGTACTAGGGACTGAATTAGAATAAAATATATTCCGTGCTTTTATAATTATGTCAAAATGGGTTCTACTGTCATATATAACCAAAAAGAACCAATAAATTTTTAAAAAAATAATGGGACAAGAAACCCTTCAATAACATAATAACCTAATTCATGACCTTTGTCTAAGTTCTCAGAGTTTATAAGCCCTTTCACCTAAGCCTTTCCCATCTCAATTTATGCCACCAATCAACATCTAAGCATCACTCCGAGTCTCTTTTGCTCAAAGCCCATATCAAATCCTTCAGCATCCTTCTGCAAGCTTTCTATTCCTAAGCCTTCTGCATTCTCAATTTCTTGAATTCTCACCTGCTCCACTGAAACAACTTCATCTCTGAGTGACCCTCGTTTCCTGTCCCCTACTGCTAGACTGAGAATTGAACCCAGAGCCTTCTACATGCTAGATAAGTACTCCGCCACTGAGCTGTACCCATGGCCCTTTTTAATTTGAAACAGGACCTTGCTAAATTGCTGAGGCTGGCCTCAAACTTGCAATCTTCCTGCCTCAGTCTCCCAAGTACCTGGAATTACAGTCCTGTCCTACTGTGCCCCACAACCTTCCCCCATTCTTGCTCCCCTACTTGACTTCTCCACACAGAAAGATTTCCCTGAATCTAGTTCTCCACCAAAAAAGATCTTTTAAAAGGCTCGTGAGGTGTACTCTTTCTTCTCAAAACCCATCAGAGGTTCTTGTGTATGCTTAAGAAAAATCTAAACTCATGGCAGCTAGTCTGCCCATTCACTCCCTTTTCCTGCATGGTGCCCCTTATCCAGCAAATTCTGCCTGACCCTCAAGCCACACAAGCTCATTTTTCCATGGGACCTTTGCCCCATTTGGAAACCCCTTGCCTCAATCTTCACAAATTAATTCCTTTCTCATTGTTCAGGGTCCCCTTCATGTCCTCAGACTTTTCAATCTAGCCATCCTGTCACTTTATCACATTATTCTGTTTAAATATTTTAATTTTCTGCATATACTACTAGCTGATATTTTTCCTGTGCATCGATTGCCTCACATGTCTTTGATTGTCTGGTTCATTGATATATTCCCAAAACATAACTCAGTGCCTGGCTTGAAGAAATATTTGGTGAATTCATGTGTTAATCTTATCTTTTAAGGTCAAGTGGAATAGACTAAATGCTTAATGTGATCTCTACGCTATGACTTTCCCTTTGGAAAATGCCATGGGGCCCTGCCCACTTAAAGAATGGAGGTAGGGGCTGGAATCCAGCTCCTGCAAGGTCCTCATGCTGATTTGTGGGGGAGGGCAGAAGCTAATTGCTAAGGCAACTTTAAGCCCAAAGTTTCACTTTGGGTCAATGTGGTAAAAACTTCTCAAGAGAAGTTTGACTTGTAACATGGAGTAGAAGAACCCAAAGGGACTCCCGGCAACAATGGAAGCATGGATTTACAAAGGACCCCTGCTTAGAGGCAGACAGGTTAGAGCCTCTGACCAGAAGATACACAAAGATTGCTTATGACAAACAGGAATCTTCAGCCAGCTGAGCCATAGAACGCCTATGGTCTCCGCCTGCTGGTCTTAAGAGAGGCCGTGCAACCTTCCAAGCCCCTTCATGAGTTCCTTATCACAAGGCTTGGAATATCACACTGCTTCATTATTGCAAGGAAAAAGAAAACAGGAAATCCAAACTCCACTATTTCACACCAAAACTTGAAAGTAAACTTAAAATTTCTTCAAAATTGCATTTCGTATTTGGTAAACCTCAAGCAAACAGAATACTAAAAATACCACCTGTTTTCTCGTCTACTCCCCAAGGTACCATAATTATAACTTGACACAGGGTGGAAAATGGAACTTACCGGCTTCGATGCACTCTGGCTTCAGGCAGTACTCCTGTTTAGCTTGGAAATTTAAGAGACCTTGACTCACTGAAAAAACAGACCAAAATAAATGACAGACTTGTAGCAGACCACCATCAGGTAAACCACCATCTGGCACATATGCAAAACATTTGATATCAGTTCATTCTTCTCAGTATTGACATGGTATTCAAAACCCCATTGGCTCAACCCCTCAGAACCACGCTGTTCGCTACCTAAGTAGCCTTGGTAATATTCTCAGTTGCTCTGAAATTCAGTTTTTGTCATATGTAAATCAAGTGGGTGAGTGAGTATGAACAGACTGAGAGTCTGCTCCCCAGAGCAGCAGAAGCACCTGGGAGCTTGTAAGAGGTGCACATTTTCAGCCCCACTCCAGACTTTCTGACTCTATCTGTGGGGTTTGGTTTTGTTTTCTTTTGTTTTGTTTTGGCAGGGTTGGTTTGAGATTGAAGCCTGGGCCTCAGTACGTGCTAAGAAGGCACTCTAGCGCTGAGCTCCTTCCCCAGCTGGCCATCTGTGTTTCATCAAGCCTTGCAGGTGATGCTAACGTGAGAGCCAGTGTTAGATGATCTTTAAAGTGCCTTCTATCTCCAATTATCTGTAGTTTGTCTCACACTTTCACTCTTTATGTTTATAACAACATCTCCATCTTAGAGATGGAAAAATTGAAACTTTTAAACTATGCCATTGTAAGCAACTCCAGAGTGGAAGGAGAAAATTAGCATATGTGGCATTTAGAGTTTGGGATCTTATCTAAACCATCCATAAAGAGGGAGAAAAGAAATAAAACCATGGGCATATAACTCAAATCATCTGGTAACAGTCATTTTCTGCCTGCACCACATACTTTCCTCCCACCAGGCCCAGCCTAGCTACCAGACATATGCACCTGTGAGAACCAAGATTCCAGCTATTTCCACTCTTCCCCTCAACCCTACCTCAAAAAACAAAACCAGGGATGGCCCTGGACTTGATCCTAAGCACCACATTAAAAAAAAGAAAAACTGTACAATTAAAATAGCTTTTGCACCAGTGCCTTACTTCCCTCATTTGGCTGGCCACATTATTCAAATGGATTTCAGCACAAATACTGAAGGATACCAAGTTTGAACTCTAGACAGAACCTTTTTCTGGGCATTAACAGATGTGACTTAGGGATTTCAAAAATATTTGAAATATGTTCCTCGGTTGCTGGGGAAGTTATATGGAATTCGTTATTGCTGTTTTCTGTGAGCAGAAACAAGGAGTTGTTTGAAGATGAAGCCATGGGGAGATGAACCAGGGGTGTGAACAAGGACTGAGGCCCTTCATGGCATCCTCAACAGAGAAGCAGAATAGGAGAACTTGGTGGCACTAATACTTATGTTTCTGGAAGCAATGGAAGACCTGAAGATCACCTGCCAGTGTGGCAGTTTTATTATTTATTACCCAACATTCTAAGAGGAGTCTGTTTTTCCTTTGTTCTTTTCTCTGCTGCCATCCTGAAAACAGCCTTTTTACCTGTGTTATATAATAAATTCAAGGAAACTGTCTACAGTACATCTCAAGCCTATTTTTAAGAAAAGAATTTTCTTAGCATTAAGGTGTGTTTTGATTTCTTTAAAAGAAAAAAGTAAGGTAAAAATATATATAGTCAGCATAAAGATTGGTGTGGAATATTCCAATATGCTTGGGTGGTGAAACCATGGGCGTAGTTTTTCCCTCAGTCTACTCTGATAAGTTTACCAAATGTTTTTTACTAAGCATGTATTATTTCTTCTAATTGAAAAATAAACTTTATTATAAATAATATTTTATTATCCTACACAATAACTTCTTGATACTGGCATTTTTTCATAAAAAGCTAATGAAATGGTTAAAGACTTAGTTCTTTCATAAAAATTAATTCTTGACAAAAACTCTCTAAGCAAGCAGAACTAAAATCAGTTATATTTTGCTAAGGAAGAGTAGAAGAAAGGTTTTTAGTATAATTAATTGGGACACAGACCTAAGCCCTCAAGCAAGAGCAGTATATCCATGGGGGGTTATTTTAAGATCCTGAAAATAAAGGATCTTAAGGATCAATGAGCCCAGGTAAGATAAAGGTGTCAGTGAATGAAATATAAACAATAAAGCTAATATTTTTAATATAAAAAAATTTAAATGTTACCTTTTACTGGTTAGGAGCTTTAAAAAAACTTATATAGCAATTTGGTTTCTCACTTCAATTTCTCTATAACCATTAGAAATGCCTTCAGAATCCAGTGGAGTCACACACATATCAAGAGTATGACAGATCAAGAGTATGAGAATGGACATAGAGCAGAGGCTAGCCAACAATGGCCCACAGGCTAGATCCAACCCACTGCCTATTACTGTTTCTATGAACGCTTTTGACATTTTTAATGATTGGACAAAACACAAAATAATAATAATAATTCATGATGCATGAAAAGTATATGAAATTCAAGTTTCAGTGTCCAGAAATCAAATCATACTGCACCAAATTGTGCTCATTTGTGTGTATATTGTCTATGTATATTTTTGAGCTACATCAACAGAGCTGAGCACAGCAACAAAGACTGAATGTATGGCTCATGAAGCTGAAAATATTTACTATCTGGCCTTGACAGAAAAAGTTTGCTGATCATTGCATCTGATAAACAGAATGTGAGAAGGGGAAGGGAAGAAGAAAGAACATTTTAAAATAAACTGGCTAGGGCTGGGTTTGTGGCTCAGTGGTAGAGCACTTGCATCACATGTGTGAAGCACTGGGTTTGATTTTCAGCACCGCCTATAAATAGATAAAATAAAGGTCGGGTGACAATTTAAAAATATGTATTAAAAAATAAAATTAAAAACTGGCTAAGGGTGTATAGTTATACCTGATGTTTTAATTTCTAGTGCTTTCACTTTTCTGAAACCACTCTAAGGCCACCAGCAATCACTTACTATAGAAGCATAAAGGTTTAGAAGAGAGATTATCCCAGAGCCTCAAAGACAAAGAAGAGGTAAGGAAGGGTTCTGAAAATGCAGGCATGTGACTGAATTTGGACAGACAAAAAAATACCCTGCAAAGTTAACCGGGAAGTACTGTGAAGCATATTGTCATGAAGAGCATTGCCTGGAAGGTCCCTAGAGATTTTCAGAAAGGATTTTGCTAGATGCAGGGTGGAGATGGGTAGCAGAGCCTGAGAGACAGGCACTGAAAAAAAAACGTGAGAAGAAGAGGGTGAGTCTGTCATAGTGCTGAAATGTTTAACAAAACATAAGGGTCCCTGAATTTATGTGCCCAAATGGAAGTGGTATTCTGAAGCAATGCTTCTCAAACTTGCATTTGAAAAGAAATCCCCTGGGGTCTTGTGAAAATGCAGACTGGGAATCAGTAGATCTGGAGTGGAGCTCCGCTTCCAAGTGATGCTAATGCTGCTGGTCCAGGGACTACACTTTGAGCAATGAGTGTACTGAGGCTACACCATTAGTTTGCAGTTATTCTCCAATACCATTAGAGCCTCTCCTAGAAACTAGAGGTGAGAGCTGGGTTGCTGGGCATATTGGATAGTTATCTTCTATTTTATACAGGCCTCCTTGTCCATAATAGCATTGACTGACTTTGTGATTTTACTTTGCTCCAAAAACATCATCTAAAAATGATGCCAAATAATCACTTTCTCTCAAAGGACAAAGACTTGCTGCCATGGAGAATCTTCCAATTAATATGCCACAGCCTCCGAATGTAATAATCACAAAAGTAGAGTTTGGAAAAAGTTTCAAGCAGTGGTAACATTTAAAAGAGTACATATTTTTACACACATGATAATCATTTGGATTTTGATGTCTGGAAGTGTTTGCAAACGTAACCTTGTAGTAGACACTTCCCACTTAGTGTGTAGTCCCTTGGTATGCCCATAGAATTTCTCCCCCAGTTTTGAATTTCAGGAGAGGATGTTCATCTAAATCCCAAGTGTTGAGAAATCTCACAGCAGTTTTCAAGAGCCACAGATTCAGTTGCAGGAACAGGAGATTTAGCTTCACCAGAAAGCAATAAATTCATCTAATTTCCTAAATCTCCAGCCACAGAAAACATGGAAAGATGGTTTTCTCATTTTAGCAGAGTTCTCAACCACACAACCCTAACTCTTTTCAAGTTTAATTACTGGTTTTCCCCTGCCAAAATAAACATGGTCTCCTTCATCATGTATATGCCAAGGAATGCTTCCAGGCTTGCTGCATTTCAAAGTGTACCTAGAATCTCCCAAGAATGGGAGTTGTTCCTTCATAACTCTCAAGCTAATGAAATATTATGGGCTGTTTGAGAAAAAAATGGTAATAGCCAAAGGTCCCAAAAGCCTAAAATTTTAGGACATCCCTCACCCCTTACCAAGATGTCTGACTCTTTGTCATAGGGATACACTTGGATCATCTCATAGACTCTCTGGGCACATCATTCTCACCATGAGTCATTAAAATAATTGAATCACACAATACCTTTCAAATCTTGGAAGAAAACTTCTGTTTTCCTTCATGTTAATTTTTAAATCTATTAGAAAGGCTGAGTTTACATTGCATCCCATCAAGTCACTTGATTAGAAAGGACTTGAAGAATCCCATTAAAGGTGCATTGAAAGGACTGATTTGTATTTTGTGAATTAAGTTTTGTGATTCGCCCAGGCAAATATAACCAAAGTCAAATGAAAAGAAATTCCAGCATGGTTTCGATCATCATGTAAAAAGTTTTCCTCGCAGCATAAATGAAAGTACGACTATGAATTCATAAACACTCAATTTTCAAAATGTAATTCATGAATATTCTTTTCTCAGTGCAACAGAATCCCGTAGTCACTCCAAATGACTTTATACCCATGTTCCCTTCTAGACTATACATTTGCTACTAAAGAATAGCCTTCTTGGGGCTGGGGCTGTAGCTCAGTGGTAGAGTGCTTGCCTTGCACAGGTGAGGCCCTGGGTTTGAACCTTAGCACCACATAAAAATACACAAATAAAATAAAGGCATTCTGTACAACTACAAACAATTTTTCAAGAAAAAACAGCCTTCTTTTACATATGCATGTTTGATAGAAACTGAGACTATACTGCCTATTAACACAAGCAAACAGCTGTACACCTGTATTATGGCAATAAAGCATGAGGAAAGTTCTTGGCATGTGCCCAGTTCCCCTGGCCTCCAGCGCTCCACTTACCTAGAAAGAGGATCGTGCCCAGCACCACAGTGCCAACGATAAACACAGCCAGGGCGACTTGAGTGCCTCTGTTGGCCCCTTTTCTAGCCTCTATGCTGCTCCCCGTTTCTGCTTCCATCAGAAAGACGGTAGAGAACACTCAAGAAGAAAGTCACTTTCCGTGGTTTGGTAGCTGGTCTCAAGAGTTTGTTAAGCGTTGACATCCAAGGCTCTCTTGCTTTTCTACTAATGGACAGCTTAAAAAATTCACATCAGGAAACCTTCCCTCGCTACCCTTTCTCAAATAATCCTTCACAAATGAAATAAAAGAAACTCAAAATATTGGTTGCCTTGGCTTTCCCCCTGACTAGACAAAACAAACAGCGGTTGCTTTATCTTGGTGCTCTCCCTCAGCAAAGTCCCTCTCAACCGGTTGTTTGGCAGGCTCTTCTCTCAGGCGTTCTGAGTATACATGTTTTACTATGTTGCTGAACAGATGTTTTAGCTATTTAAATGTATAGTCACTTGGGGAGGAAAAAAAAACAATTGTCTTTATCAAAACTGGATCCTTGTCAACCTCCCCCCAACCATGATAAGTTAGGTGACGAAGACTCTCCGAACCTACTTCAAGATCTCAGTTAATCATGTAATTCTGCTGCAATAATCATTCTGCTCGCCTGAATTGTCCTCATCAAAGATATTCTTTCAGTGTGTGAGTCCCTTTTTAAAGCCTTCTAAGAGTTCCTAGGATATCCTGGAGCATTTTATTTTAGGAACGTTGTGTATGATAGCATGTGCCAAAAATCAGAGTCATAGTCCAGTGCAGTGCAAAGTAGCAATTAAGACAACCTACAGAGGCTGATGGTTTGGACTGGAACTTTTTTTAAGGAAGAAGAAAGAGCATTTCCTCTTTGTGGTGCTAAGAATTGTACAAATGACAGTTAAGTATATGAATTAAGCTTATTAGCAACCACAAAAGATACAGTGAAGGTTTTTTTTTTTCCCCTGGATGTTTTGGTGAAAACTGCACCCATGTATTTTGTCCTCTGGTTCCCCTGAGGCAGTCATTGGTTAATATGTTTTTGCATTTCCATATAGTGTTTATTTCAGCAGATTCTCTGGATTGAATTCAAAGGTATTTGGCTTCCCTGGAAAGATTGATAAATGATGGGGTCTTTAATTTCTTGATGAAAATGATTTAAATTATCAAAATCTGCTTGCTTTATTGGGGCAGGGCAACTCCTACTCCAATTCTAGTGAAATTATATAAATGTTATTCTCTAATGATATAGATATCATTAAGTCATAACACAACTACCACTTACCTGTTTCTGTTTTGCTGGAGATCATAATGCAGTAGGAGTCAGGGTGAAGGATTCAGCTACATCCCAAACCAGGAAAATAAAACTTGTACATTTGGCTTTGGGAGTCTCCCCAGAGTTCAGAAGGTGCCAATGAGCTCAGTAAAACATGATCACTTGTTCACACTCCTATCTGGCTAAGCTTGGTCAGGACTTAATCCCACAGCATGGAATTCTCCCGTGTTTTAGAACTTCTTCCATAACACATCCTACCCTGTTTTCTGTTCATTTCATGTTATTCCCAAATCAGAAGATCATAAATCTGTGTCATATGCTGTTACTCTTATATGCTCATTGGCTATTAATGTTATTTTGTGGCTGTTATTCAATAACACAGTCTAACAGGTCTTTTGTCCCTAGAATGGGATTCTCCCAAAAGTATCTGGACTTGACTTCATAATACATCTTGAACCATGAGCTCCTTGAGGTTAAGGAACATGTCTGTTGCATTCAATACAGCCCCAGCATCAAGAGTTCCTGGCCCATCACAATGAAAGGGGAAATAAAAGAAATGAAAATCATTCAAGTTAGCCCTAGACACTTGCTCTTATGAAGCAGCTTCAGGAACTTCAGACATTTGTTCCTGACAGGGCAGGGGTGGAAAGCATACAGCCTCTAGATTCCTTCTAAATGCTCAGCTGATAATGATACTTCACATGGGGATGGTACATAGTAAGCTAGTGGTAAACCTGTATACTTGATAGCAAAGGCATTTTAAACTCTGTTTTACAAATGAAGAGACTAAGAGCAAGGAAGGGCTTTAGGTGACATGTCTGGGAAAACTAGACAGGGAAAGATTAAGAGATGGGATCATTGCCATATACTATGTGTCTGCAACTTCACAAAGTTTTCTATGCCACTCAATCATAGTATCAGGGCATGCTTCTTCCCTCCTTCCTTCTTCAAATCTCCTCATATCATTCAGGGTCTTGACTGACACAGAACAGTGGTCATGGGTTGACCACCTTGGACCAGCAAGATTTCCCTAGAGTTGAGGACAATTTCAGGTTTGCCCTGAAGTTGTACCTATCCATCACTGACAGACAGGAATTCATTCCTGAACATTCAACTGCTGAGTTAAAAGCCATTAAACAACAACAACAAAAATACCTTCAGTAATTTTAATAGAAAATCTATGATGCATTTATTCTAAATTGAGACATGCATAGAAAAATATATTAGTTGAACAATGAAGACAAGTCTATTGAAATAACAAACAACTTTCAAGATGTTAAAAATAGTTTGTTCATATAATGTAATGTAATGAAGGTTTCCTTTACTCACCAAAGAAATAAAGGAAAACTTGAGAGTGGGTAGGAATGATAGAGGAAAGGGGTGTGGGTGAATCATTCATTATAAAGTGAATTCTTTATTCTGTGCCATTTTCTGCATTAATGTTTCAACCTTTTGGGAGGTGGTGATTATCTTGCACTAAAATAAACTGCATTTAACAATAAAGTAGCACAGGAAAAAAAAGAACTTCAGGGCGAAATAAAAAGTTAAAAAACACAGAGAAATAATGAATGTTCATGGAAAACTAAAGCAGGGAGCTGCAAATGGCCCACCTCCTGTTTTTATAAATAAAGTTTTATTGGAACAAAGTCATGCCCATTCATTTATAGATTGTATATGACTGCATTTGTGCTATAAAGGCAAAGTTAGGTAGTTTTGTCACAGAGACACTCTGGCCTGCCAACTTTAGAATATTTACCCTCTGGCCCTTTACAGGAAAAGTTTACTAAACCACAGGCTGACGTAAAAGATGCTACTCTTCTTCCCAAACACATGGCACACATATACAAAGCAAAATATTCATCTACACTGACATGAAACTCAAAATTGTTCCATTAAGTATTTGCAGAATAAAAACCACTGTGCTAGGGAAGTTAGTGCATGCATCTTTTGTCTGAAACTGTAATATTGAAACTATAGCATATTGTTTAGTATGTTTGGGAGCAAAAAAAGTCATTTTTCTGGGGATAAAAGTAGGAAGACTGTCCAAAATTAAACCTTCAACTTCTCCAGGACCGTAAAAATAAATCAATGAAAAGTCACTCTGCAAGATTAATTAATTGATCATCTGATCTATGCATCCACTCAAATATTTCAATTAAGAGCATCCAGGGGCTGGGGCTAGGGCTATAGCTCAGTGGCAGAGCACTTGCCTCACATGTGTAAGGCACTGGGTTTGAGCCATGTTCACCATCGCTAGCAGTCAGAGAAATGCAAATCAAAACTACCCTAAGATACCATCTCACTCCAGTAAGATTGGCAGCCATTAGGAAGTCAAACAACAATAAGTGCTGGAGAGGATGCGGAGAAAAGGG